GAAACGGTCCGTAACAATCTACAATTCAGCTATCTTCTCAGCTCAATAATTTTGGGGTAAAATTGTACATTCTAACCTCACCCATGTATCCCTCTCTCTGATCATTGAAGGTGACATTATTCCAGAGTGCTAGGAGGAAACTGAACCATCATTACAGATATGTGGAGAGAGGCTTATTACTGTTCGCACACAAGACGGGATTAGTACTGCCTTAAATAATGTAAAGTACATGTCATTGGTCTGTACTGTCAACTTAAAAACGGAATACTGAGTCACTACAGGAAATCTGGCTGGATCAGAAAACGTGAGACATCCTCATTTTTTAAGACATCCAAGTTAAGCACAAATAACACTAAAAAACTCAGGGACGCCTCTAACTTACAGTATACCCTCTCCCCCAGCCATCATTCACTCACACAACCCAGCAGCACATTTTCTAAGGTGCTCCACCCTGCCATTTTAAAGCATATCATATTTTTAACCAGATTAAAAAACCATCAATAAACAGCTTTGTTCCACACAATCGTTTCTGAGTGACCAGTAAGAGTATTGCTACAGCATCCACCCTTGGATAGATCTTAGAAGGACGAATGGTAGTGGTTCTGATATCTATAGCCTGTCCTTGTAGAGGCTTTTCAATGTAAACACTGCATTTTCAGAGAATATGCAATGTTTACATTGGGCTTAGTGACACCTCTAGTGGCAGTCTCTGAGAGGGGCACTAGAGGTGCTTCCTGGCTTAGATCTGCTCAATGTGCAGCACCTAAATTCAGAGTCTTCCCGCTCTGTATGGAAGTGCTTAACATTCTGCATTGAGATGCATTGATTCAATGCATCTCTCTGAGATGTGAATTGTCACAGTGTTTTGCAGCGCAATAGCTTTGCAATGGGAAAGCATTGGATTGGCTGAGATCATCATGCTTGATTATCTCACCCATAAATGAGGGGCTAGCCGCAGAGAGACTGGCATGGCGTGGGAAAAAAGGTGAGTAAAAACGAAGGTGAGCTGGTCACCTAAACATACACTGACAGACAGACATACGACAAACAAATTATTATATGTTTTAATTGAATTTATACCAGTCCAACCTCCCTACATTTAGTCCAGTCGGCGGCCAGCTGGGGATGTAGTGGAGGAGGGCGGCCGACTGCAAGTCCTGTAGGGGGGCTGTGAGGCAGGTCTTTCTGCTCTGCATACTCGCGCTCCGCTTAGCACTGCCGGAGACGGAGGGACATCATTTTCCAGCGCCTTGCTGGACTAAGGGGCGAGCAATGGAGCAGGGAGATCACAGTTCCCTCGCCACCCACCTACAAGACATACAACCTGCTGCCCGCCTCGGAGGTAACAAGCTTACAAATCCCAAGCACCAGGACAAAAATTCTTAAGCACTGTGTTAGGATTACCCTGGCACTGTTTTCTGGTAAAACAGCAAACTGTTTTACATTGGTTTGCGCTCTTACCTGGTACTGCCAGGTACCGGGTCTCTATAATTGCTGGTAACGTGCAACTGGCTTCTGCAGACTCAGATGCCAATTCTGCTGGCCATTCATTGGTTTAGAGTGTCAGCTGACCGCTCTCAGACAATAATATCAATTCTGTGCATATTCCAATGCATAAAATTTATATAAGTTAGCCTAGAACTCCAAGCTGGCTAATGAAGCCTCATTGTTGCTGACAGAGAAAGTGGTAGCAGAGGGTTTAAACTTTGTTTGTGCAGAGTTTTAAAGGGAAGCGCTGCACATTGACTCAAGGCACCATAATCATTTCAAATCAGGTGAGTTTTAGGGTAAAATTACTTACTTGAACATGTCCCTTATTGGCGCTGCTTCAGCACCAGGAGTCGACATTTCGGCCCGGCACACACACAAGAGTACAGCATTAAGGTCCATGGAGCATCCAGCGAGACCCTCTTTAGACACAACCTATTCCCTGCAGCAATCACTGATGAAGGCTACAGGTCCTGACAAATAGAGTCTACCTTGTGTCAGGATGTGTCTGACAGAGAAGAAAAACAGAGAAAAAGTAGTCCCTACTTTGTCTCTGTATATCTCTTTACTGGGTTGGAATTTTAGTGAAATAATGAGTATTTAACAAAGATTCTATCTTTATTTAAAAAACAAAAAAAAATGTTTAATAGGGAGGACAGTGCCACTTTAAGGTCAAAATAGCTGAACCACACAGTACTATATGCACAACATGTCAACAATCTCACTCTGTGTACTAAACCCACGTGTAGATTACTAGAATCCAAAAACCAATCAAAGAAAAAAAAAAAAAACTCTCACACCTTATATCTCCATCACATTTACACACACCAGCCATGTTATCTAGATTACATGGTATCTGCCATTAGTGAACTTCCAGAAAAGCGTGCCATGCAAAAAATCTCGCAGAACCCCTAGAAAGGCAGTTTATTGGCTGGAGAGGATCAGGGATAGTTGGGAAAGTTATACACGGATAAAGAAAAACAAAAAAACAAAAAACAAAAACACATTAATTCAACGTAATTCCAAATATAAACAAGCAGTCTCCATTTTAAATATATACACTTTCTCCAAAAAGAGTGCAAGCTTCTAGGGTGGACATTTACTCAGTGTTTATAGCTGTTACTTTGGATACGTAGAGATTTTGTTTTGTTACAATAATATACATTATAGAGCAGAACAAACAATATATATAAAACTTCTAGTGACAACTTAGACCAGGAACACTCAGAATCAAGATATCAAAGCCAGACGTAGCATTAGCTATTGATTCTTACCTTGAAGACCTCAGAGAAGAACCCAGATCCAATCTTCTCACAGTAGAAGTCATCAATGCGGGCCAGATTAGACACGGCGCTGCGCAGCGCTCTGTAGGAAGAGGGGCGCAGGCGATTTGACCCTTGGACATTGGGCATTAAGCTATGGGCTTCCAAAGTACCAAATCCCTCAGTGTCTGGATCTCCATCTGGTTCCATATCAAAAGATCCTGTCACATACCACTTGAGATCTTAAAAACAGAAAGGCTTTGTGGGGGGTTGGTAGGGGAGCACAGACTCACAAAGTCCTTAGAGAGCAATAGAAGTAAAGGCTTCTTGAATAATTCCAAAAGAACAGGAAGGAGAAAATGTCTGAAGAGGGCATCCCTTAACAGGTCCATGAACAACCACAGGCTGGTGGCTCTGCTAGGAGAAGACGTCTGTTGGATGCTCTTAGTGTCCTTTCAGATCTCTTACTGGAACCCAAGCTGACTGCCCTGAGAGTCCTGGCAGGTTCACATTTTTAATGCTACAACACCCACTGCAACCGGAGCTCTGGACACTGGATTAGACCCTCAATAGTTCATCAATGTATATCTGTGAGGACAATACAATAAGCAGAGATACTCACTAACCAGACTGCTGGATCTCACCCTCAATAGTTCATCAATGTATCTCTGTGGGGACAATACAATGAGCAGAGATACTCACTAACCAGAGTGCTGGATCTCACACCATGTTATCACCCCTGCCTCAGTAGATTTCAAGCCATTAATAAGTAAACCTGCCCTGAAAGTGAGCTTGGTCACAGGTCTCCCAGTAATACCAGCTATACCCAGTACCCTCTCACCCTGACAGGGGTCTCCCAGTAATACCAGCTATACCCTGTACCCTCTCGCCCCGTGTGACCCGGTAATACCCGGTACCCTCTCACCCAGCGTGACCCCGGTAATACCCGGTACCCTCTCACCCAGTGTTGCCCGGTAATACCCGGTACCCTCTCCCTGCCCAGTTACTTGATGTGACTGGTGGCCACCGGTACCCTCTCACCCGAAAACCCGATGCGGTAGCCACCGGCACCCTCTCACCCAGTGTGACCCGGTAATACCCGGCACCCTCTCACCCAGTGTGACCCCGGTAATACCCGGCACCCTCTCACCTAGTGTGACCCGGTAATACCCGGCACCCTCTCACCCAGTGTGACCCCGGTAATACCCGGCACCCTCTCACCCCGCGTGACCCGGTACCCTCTCACCCAGTGCCCAGTGTGACCCCGGTAATACCCGGTACCCTCTCACCCAGCTTGACCCCGGTAATACCCGGCACCCTCTCACCCAGTGTGACCCGGTAATACCCGGCACCCTCTCACCCAGTGTGACCCCGGTAATACCCGGCACCCTCTCACCCCGCATGACCCGGTAATACCCGGTACCCTCTCACCCAGTGTGACCCCGGTAATACCCGGTACCCTCTCACCCAGTGTGACCCCGGTAATACCCGGTACCCTCTCACCCAGCGTGACCCCGGTAATACCCGGTACCCTCTCACCCAGCGTGACCCCGGTAATACCCGGTACCCTCTCACCCAGTGTGACCCCGGTAATACCCGGCACCCTCTCACCCAGTGTGACCCGGTAATACCCGGCACCCTCTCACCCAGTGTGACCCCGGTAATACCCGGTACCCTCTCACCCAGTGTGACCCCGGTAATACCCGGCACCCTCTCACCCAGCGTGACCCCGGTAATACCCGGTACCCTCTCACCCAGTGTGACCCGGTAATACCCGGTACCCTCTCACC